CGCTGAGTTTGATCAGCCAACGCCTTCTTCCTCTTTCTTGCAGCGCCTTGGTCCGGGTGATTACGTAGCCTAATAGGCCAATGATCATTTGGCTTCGCATATGATGATGGCCATGTTATTTTAAGGTTGTTTGTTCTATTTTTTCTTGGTTCTTCTTTTCTAGTTAATTTATTTAATATTGCATTTCTTGCTCTCCCTTGAAGATGAGGAACTGCAAATGACTAGGGAGTGCCGGCGCCCAGTTCTTATAGGCTTTGTCTGGCTTAAGTGGTTTCTCTCTCACGACTCCTTTGGACCGACAGAGTCGATGGCTCTGAGCAACCCACACCAGAATTCTTAACTTCTTTCCACTCCATCACCTCCTTCTCCTCCGTCAGGAATCCTTTTTTTGCACAATCTAATTTTCTTTAGTCCCCTGCCTGCCCAGAGTCCTGAGGCTGTTCTCCTTAAGGCAACCCCCCCCCCATAAACAGTGGCCAGCCTGCCGTAGGGTAGTAGGTTTTGTGTGTTACTGGCCATTCTTGGTTCCTAGTTTTCTTCTAGCTTGGAATTGGCTTAAGCTGCTCCACTCGCTGGGTTTCCTTCTTCTTTAGTAACACTATGTTACTGTCTAGAACTTTCAATACAATGTCACATACTTCGTACTTAGCTTTGATGATCACATATCCTGACATAGACTTCACTAGCACCAAAAGGTATTTCTCACCTTTCTTCCCTGTCACCACCCATGGTACGGTGCTTTTAATGGTGAAGCCGTCCACTCTCTGTCCCCTGCGCCCTGCGTTGTATTGACCACACACTTTGCAGTCTTTCAGGACTCTTGAATTTGGCTTATTGGAACCCAAAACTGCTGCTTGTCCAATTCCATCCTGGTGGGCTTGGTGCCTGCATGGCCTAGCGCTTCATGTACGGCCTGCACCACCTCCACCACGGATTCTTCTGGGACCACCCTTACTTTGGGTGTCTCTTCCCACTTCTCGTTTTCGACAAAGAAGATTCTTCTCTCTTCACTGAACACCCTCATGAATATTATCTATATTTCTTACATACATAGAGCTAATCATTTACTGTAACCTACGGAGCCACAAGATAGAATCTAGTGCTCACTAGATACTATCTAGTGCTCACTAGATAGTATTAGATAGTATCTAGTGCGCACAAGATAGTATCTAGTGCTCACTAGATAGTATTAGATAGTATCTAGTGCGCACAAGATAGTATCTAGTGCTCACTAGATAGTATCTAGTGCTCACAAGATAGTAGCTAGTGCACACTAGAAACGTTTCATTTTTTTTTTTTTTCCCCCATGTCCCTTTAGGGACTCCGTAGTAACCTGATGCTATGCTCTATAATAATAAATTCAAAGGGTAAATTAATTATGTGAATGTTATTATTTTCTGTTTTGGTCTAATTCCGTTGTATGGTAGCCCACCATTTCACACGCACCCATGGCAGGCAAAGAAGAAGCTTCCGCTTTTTAATATGATCAAGTAATAGATATATGCTGTTTCTTTGTGAAAAAAAAAATGCCACCACCAGCTAGGTCCAGAGAAGAAGGTTCAGAGAGTGAGTGACGCATCCCTGAGAATAAAACTTAAGCTGCTAATTGTAATGCTAATGCTGGTGGCATCATTCCTTACAGGAACAGCACTGAAGCTGCACCTGTTCTTGTTGGAACTATTGGACAAAGGACACCATAGGGGAGGTCTATAAACAAGCTTGCAAGGCTCAATTCTTGGGGGGGGTAATAGCTGGGATCTGTATCTATTATACTGGCAATTCTCACAATATGCCATCACTTATTAGGCATAAGATGCCTGGCTGAGCATGTTTGATGAAAATGTCAGTGTAGCAGTTACTTCCCTCCAGCAAACACTTGAAAATAAAAAAAGATCACATAAATATTTCCTGTTTTTAACAATAAACCATGATGAATATATTCATTGAATATACCGCTTCCTCTTTTCAAGACAAATCTGTCTCTTAATTTTCTTCTGACTTAATTATTCATTCATTTTTCCAGGGTGACTGTCTTTAATAAGCTCCATCTTCTTCGCAGTACGTATAAAAAATCCAAAGTATATAATAAATCGCTATAGAGATTTAAGAGAGATTTTATAGAATTAGAAAAATTGTTTTTTCAGAATGTGAGTTTGAAGCAACAAGTGGCCCTGTGGTTTTTTTAAGTGTGAGAGTGTCGCAAACATTGATGTCGGGTGTTAAATGCTTTGAACCGTGGACCGGGGAACGCATCTTAACAAGGGGGGGCCATAATTTCAAGTCACGCGGGGGGGTGGGGGGGGCATCTGCATTGAAACAGACAATATTACTAATGTATTAAATAACGTATCGGAGCACTTTTTTTTATTCCGACACCACATAGTCACATCTACAATACACGCATGATGAACACGTACACATGCTTGCTCAGATTAACCCCTCTGATCCCACTCTAACATTCACACACAACAGGCCAAGCCTATTTACACATAAACGCCCAGATGAAAAGTACATCCGTACAACCACAACCAAAACTCATCTTGCTGCCTTGAATCTAAATCAACATCATAGTCATTATCATCACAAGTCAACACTCATATCAGACTGATGATAACATTCCACACAACAGGCCAAGCCTATTTCACATAAACGCCCAGATGAAAAGTACATCCGTACAACCACAACCAAAACTCATCTTGCTGCCTTGAATCTAAATCAACATCATAGTCATTATCATCACAAGTCAACACTCATATCAGACTGATGTGCAGAGCCGCACACACACACACACACACACACACACACACACAGCAGCAGCTGTTGGTGAGAGTGCGTGAAGGTGTGTGGTGACTAGTATTGTTTGGCTCGTAAAAACACAGATACAACTTAGGCTTTTATTCATATAAAATAAGTTTGGTAGGTTAGGTAAAGGTTCATTTTTTTAATTTTCAGGTGATTTCACTAATGAAAAAATACCTTATATATGTTGTTAAGTTGTTGTTGTTCTTTATTTTTATTTTAATACATACAACACAGGCCACACCATAATATACTAAAGAATACAAATACCCCTGGGGGCCACACATCATGGCAAAGCACGAAATCAACTTCATGACCGAAAGGCCAACTCATTAGTCCACCAAATATCCCAACAAACCTCAAACAATCCGCCCAAAAATTCTGCACTTAGAATACCTACAGACTCCTATACACCTCTACCCAAACAATTAAAGAGAGAGAAGAAGAAAAAAAAGTTGACACAATGTCTTCCATCCATTCATCCTGGCTCCGAGCTCTGCTCCTCTGCACACTTTCTAACGCAATTCTCTTTGTGCTCAAGGATCATCAATCACCTGCCAGACACTCTCCTCCACCGTCATCATCAACCTCTACTATCGGATCGTCCTTCCCCGCCAGAAGCTCATCATCTCCTCTCTACATTACCTCCATGAATTTTGTTTGCCATTTTGTCAGCACATGACATGTCAGATGAACTCTTTTGACGTATTTGTAATGTATCTGCATTTGTTTAATGTATTACAGGTTTAAACGTATCATTTTTGTTTATTCCATGACATTTAAACCAACAGAAGTGCCAACAACAGTTTCCAGTTGAATATCTGCCATCAGGGCTCTTAAAATTGATGCAATTATCATCCACCAATTAACATATTTCCACTCTGAGTTTTCTTTGCCACAGAAACTGCAGTCATGTGTTAAACGTAAATTTTACTGAAAGCACAAAATGACACATATGAAATATCTTTGTGAGCAGGTCAGGTGACATTTGGTGACCTTGTTAATGCAACAAATATAATATTTAATAGTTGCTTTAAATGTTGCTTGTGCTGCTGCACTCTATTGAGCAAAGACCACAAAAGAGGAAGTGCTTCAGGAAGAACAGCAGTGTGAAGTGTCTCTGTACACCACAGCTTTCTATCCACTTCTCTGCCACTGAACACTCATACAGAGCATCCTTTCTGTCTCAGCCATGGGGGGCACACAACACAGAAACTTCTGTTTGATCACAGGTGAGAAGCATTTTTGTTTTTATATGCAGATAGTACAGAAGGAGGACTTTTATAATTTGTGATCAGTTTAAAAATCTTACAGTTCAGTGAATTCAATTAGGAATTTACCAAATCACAAAAACGATGTCTTATATTTCAGCATGTATAATGTCTTTCACCTTGTATAATAAAGCATGGCATTTTGTCTCCCCTGTAGTCTCTCTTCTCTTGACCTTATCTTCATCTGCTGCAGGTCAGTGCATTCTCCTTGTAGTTTTTCATGTATGCTCTGTTTAAATATTGCATATTATATATTATATGTTTTTTCTCCATAGACGTACTGATCAGATTATCTGGGTCTGGGTCTACTCGGTGTTCTGGAAGAGTTGAAATCTATTACAATGATACCTGGGGAACAGTCTGTGATGACAGCTGGGACTTAAATGATGCTAACGTGGTGTGCAGAGAGTTGAGCTGTGGTACGGCACTGAGTGCCCCTCAGTCAGCACACTTTGGTTCAGGAACTGGACAAATCTGGCTTGATAATGTGGCCTGTTCAGGAAGTGAAAGGTCTCTAACTCAGTGTCAGCACAGAGGATTTGGGACACACAACTGTAGACACAGTGAGGATGCTGGTGTGAACTGTTCAGGTGAGAAGACATTTGGATCATTTACAGAATATCAAATGAATGTAAACATTTGATCTACTGTGTACATTTCTATTATTCAGACATTGTGGTTTATGATGTGTGTCAGTTGGCACTCCCGTTAATGGTTAGAACCAGGAAACAATGGGTAAGGACACTCAATAAGGGAAAATGTTGTTTGGTCTACCACAAATGCAACCACAGTCTAAAGAGAATCAAGTCTATTTCTTTTGTTGGGAGTACAGTCATTTGTTCCTTTCTGAATAACTTCTACACAATATTTCTGACAAAACTGTTGAAAATTTTACAAACTAAATGTATGTTCTGTGTGTTCTGTCTGTAGGCATACCGATCAGATTATCTGGGTCTACTCTGTGCTCTGGAAGAGTTGAAATCTATTACAATGATACCTGGGGAACAGTCTGTGAGGACAACTGGGACTTAAATGATGCTAAGGTTGTGTGCAGAGAGTTGGGTTGTGGGGCAGCACAGCGTGCAGCTCAAAATGTGTCCTCTGGCAAAGGATCCGGCCAAACTTGGCTTAATAAAGTGAATTGTTTTGGAAACGAAAGATCTCTAACTCAGTGTCGGCACGGAGGATTTCGGACACACGACTGTACCCACAGTGAGGGCGCTGGTGTCGTCTGTTTACGTGAGAAATATTTTTGATCACTTTTCTCTTCTACTTATAACTATTGCCATTTGTGTGGTTTTGTTCTGGTCTATTGTGAGGTTAGTGGAAAAGGTTTTATTTTTCACGTTGCATTTTCATAAAAAATAAAATCTTTAAGTGTCATGAATAGGGGATCCAGACACTGGAATATTTTCACTCTTGTAAACTGCGTGTGTGTCAGCAACTTGGTATCTAAATGTTGCTAGGTGCTTTTAAAAAAATAAAAATTCTCTTAAGGGGCCTTAAAAGCATAAATAGGGTCAAGAGATTGCTCATTTCAGTTCCCTGATCAGTGCCGATACTGTCTGGAGGCATTTGGTAGAAAGTCATAGATTAGTCAAACAGCATAACTTTTCATACAGCATATGCATAAAAAGCCTGAAAACAGACATGATGATGAGAGTGGTGTCCAGCTTGCGTCTGTTAAGAACAGAGCCTGGAAGCATGTGGCCAGCCTAGCTTAGCACAAAGACTGGAAAAGGGGGGCAATGCTACCCAGGCTTTGTCCAAAGTTGAAACACTTCTACCAGCACCTCTCAAGCTCACATATTTAACACGTACAAAACAATTCCAAGACGTAACTAACATTTTATTATTGTGCTTTTTTTTAGCGAGCCTCCCAAAGCCCAGCATCTCAATGGATCATGTTGGTGAGGTCACCTGGGGTCAGAATGCTGTCATCACTTGTTTGATCTCACCTCCCACTCAACAACGTATACATGGAACATTTATTCTAAACCAGACCTCGGGTTCATTAAGAAAGGAGCAAATGTCAAATAACTCTGCTTCCTTCAGAATCAATAAAGTGGACTTTGTTGACGAGGGATCGTACCAGTGTCAGTATCAGACACAGGTTTCAAGTCAAGATTTAATCTCGCCTGTGAGTGCCTCTGTCAGACTCGCTGTTACTGGTAAGAAAATTAATTTATAATAAATAAAATAAGACACAACACAGGAAACGCATATGAGCACCACAACTTCTCGCTAAAAGGCTGCAGTTGAAGGTTAGCCAAGTGGCAAAGGAAAAGACAGTCAGTCATATGCATTGTGAAATATGTGATAGGAACACAAACTACAAACTGAAAAATGAAAAACGATTTATAATTTAAGTTTTATAATAATATCGATAATTCTTAATTATGACAACACCACAATAAAAAGAAGGCTTAGGTGTCGCCAACAATTGAGAGCGTCTGTAAATTACTCAGAAGCTAAGGGTGTAGATACAGGATTCATGAAAGCTCGCAGATCCTCACTGCCTGCCATACATGCATGAAACCCTTACAGTCTTTTATTTCAGTTTGCCTAATGAATGATGCAAAGTGTGTGTGAGCAGGCGGGGCAGTAGAGGGCTCTCTCCATTTACTCTATTTGTGACTCTGTGTAGTTCACAGTACATTGTCTCAATTGACATCCCCAATATTGTGAATTCTGATGGTCATCAAATAAAATGCAGTATCACATGGCCATTAACATATTATCTAGATATATCTTACAAAATGGGTCATAGCATTTGGACAGTACTTCTATTGGACGCTAGAACAATAACTGATACATCAGATGGCATTTGTGTATGTAACTAATGTAGGCTACAGAACTGATTCCACCTCTTCTGTACAAGCTGATTGTCCTCCATACCTGACACTTACATCACATGGCCCTTAACACCCAACAGCAACAACATACTGTAGATAGTTAAAGGTCCAGTGGGAGGGATTTAGTGGTATCTAGCAGTGTAGTATATTCCATTTCCACTAATAGAACCTGCTAAATGTTATACTCTGGACCTTTAATAACTATAAGACTGTTACGAACAGCAAGCCAGTTACTTTGTCTCTCCTTATGTTGCAGCTAATCAAAACTTACCAGTAAATTTCACCATATTTCACATTCACTCAGCCACTTGAAGCATTACTGACATTATCCATGAATGAACCCATTTTCATTCTGAACCATTTTACTGTACATTTATCAGTTTACCAACATGAAAGCTTGTTGTGGCATTTTCATCCCTCCCTCCCCTTACAGCTGAGCCAGAATTAGTTGATGAGTGCAGAGTGCCATCGACAGGTCAAACTGTGTATAGCAAGTGAGCTAGACATTGGGTAATTCAGTGGTTTTATTTTAACTGTGACCAGGGAACTCTCATATGTCGTCGTCATATGAGAACAGTTCCTTCAGTCTAAAGGCCTTTGTACACTGGTGGTGTTTCAAACTGCAAAATATTTTTTAGATCTATAGAGATTTTTCTGAGCTGTCGCACTACGAATAAGGGCTTCAACTAATCACACACACACTAATCCCATTGTTTTTCCTCCCTTATTTCTCTTTTCACACCTACATGCATAGACACGGTCTTCAGTGCCCCACCCGTTTACATAACTTGCCATTTTCCCTTTTATACTTACGCAGTCTTGGGCTCTGCCATTTTGGTTCAGCTCTTTAGGTTCAGGACTTTCCATGATACAGCTCATTCATCTACTCCATGGCACTTCCTCTTTACACCAGCCAAAGCATGATGAAACTATGGATACTTTTAAGGATAAACTGTTAAGTATTTCTCTTTCCTAGTTCCTTTTTGGCCGCTGGTCTCCTCAGTAGCTGCTGGGATCCTGCTGCTGCTCCTGCTGGTCTTGGTGGTGGTCTGTTTGGTCCTCAGGAGAAGGCGACGATCAAAGCAGCCTGGAGGCGCCGTCCAAACTCAATGTCTGTGCTCACCAGGACTCACATGACATGACATTATAAGACTAGTTGTTGTTTGTTTTTAATATTTTAAAGACACACTTATCTAAATGTTGTTGTTATTTTAGTGTGCAAAGAATTATGTGATTGTTTTCAGACACATTTTTCATGTCAAATTTCTTCTGATGCTTGTGTTTCAGTGGCGGTCAGGAACAATTATGAAGAGGACAATGAGGAGAGTGAGGAGGAGGAGGGGGACTATGTTAATGTTGAGCCAGTGGACACCAACCAGATACAGACTGGACAAGCAGAAGGAGACGAAGACGAAGATGGTGATGATCATGATTATGAGGAAGCACAGATTGAAGATGATTATTTAGTGGCTGTAGAGGTTTCTGTTAATATGGAACACAACGGAGAGGAACAAGTAGATGAAGAAGAAACCAGTGATGATGACAATGACTATGAGAATGTAACCCAGCCATTTACTGAACAAGAAGTGGACATTTATGGAGGAAATGAGGATATTTATCAAAACCTTTAGGTTTCCACTTGTCACAGTGTCACACTGATTATCGTGGATAAAACTATTACTCAACTATTGACCCACTGCCAACATTTTAAATTAACAATATTATCAATTAGTGTGTGGGAACTCAAACCTAGACTTTCATTTTCTGTCTGAAACCACAAACATCTTTGTTTTTCCCAGGTTACAGAATATGTAGAAAATGAATAAATGAAGGAAAAGGAGGAGGGTTACTTATTTCTGTAAAAGACTACATAAAGTGTCAACATAGAGATATAAATGATTGGAGTCAAAAATAGAATGTTTAGCACTGTAACTGTATCACCTCAAATATAATGTATTGACATTTATCAACCTCTGTCTGCGGATGTTACTTTTCATACCTATTAATATAATTTTAAAGGAATTAAAGGGTTATAGGAAGGCAGTGATAGCTTTAGGGGATTTTAATGTGAATTGGGGAGATAAGAAAAACAGAAGAAAAACAAATTAATGGCCTATGTGGTTTTCTCAGATGATAAATTGACCAAACCAAATTGATCTTGTATTTTTCAATCAACGAGAGAGGATCATTAATTCTTCTAATTATATTACAGGGATTTTACATCCTAATTAAGAAAAGGTTCACTTTTAGACAAGACAGACACAAGAGTTATTGAAGAAAGAATACCAAAGAAAGGTTTAGCCAAATTGGATACTGGACTGAAGGATTCAGCTTGGGATAGTTCAGCTAGCATCGAAGAAATTGATGTGTTTTGTAGGACTTGTATTGTGTTAATATTGCTATGGACAAATTAATCAAGAAATAATGACACAAAAAGGCAATCCTATTTGGAAGACAGAACATATCTCGACCTTGATGAAGAAAAGAGACTTAAAAGAGACTCTGCTTAAAAAGGCATTGAAATCTGACCTTAATACCAATGTTAGTCTATTCAAAGACCACTGCAACAGTGTAGTAAATTAACTTAGGAAGGCTAAAGCCAACTTTTTTATCTAACTGTGGAAGCACATTAAAAACCTCTCTTGAAAGGAAAATAAATGTCAGAAGTGTTATAAAATTAAGATTAATAATATACTGACACAGTGTAAATATTAAATTGTAGTCTTTTAAAGGTTCAATATATTCAATATTCAAATCTATGTAGACAATACAGTCATCTCATTTATGTTCATGCTATATTAAAACAGTAAGCTTCATCGTTACTAACACAGGCTATGGACAACATAGCAGAATGAATGACTTATTCATGCTTGACATTGAATTTCTTCAAAACAGTTGGTATGATTTTTGTCCATTAGACGAGGCAATTCCCCTCCTCCTGAAATCATTGTAAACGGACAGGGTACAGGGTTACAGGATAGTCCGCATGTCAAATATTTGGGTGTGATTGTTGATAGCAGTCTAACTTTCAATACACAGTAACATCTCAAAAACAAGGTATAACCTTGCTCATTTTAGATTTATAAGCACCGTACCCAACACAATTAGACATTTTGGTCATAAAAATGTAATCTTT